GGGGAAATCAATACAAAATAATAAAATTAACATTTATTCAAAACCGCATGGAGAGAATATTTTTATTATATTTGGCCGGAAAAGAGTGGGGGGGGGGAAACGGGGGGTTCAAATACGAAAGGATAAATGCAAAAATTAAGTATCAAAAATAAAATGAAAATTTTATTATTTTATGCGGCGGTGGGGGGAGGGGTTTTCCTGTCCTTTAAAAAAGGAAAAAAGTTGTTAAAAGATTTAAATTTAAATGTAATTTTTAGCTGCGGCGGGTAAAGTGTTTGCCCTTGCCTTTAAAAGCTTTTTTAAAACCCCTATTCAACTACATTAATTTCCCAAAGATGGAAAGAAGAAAGAGAAGAGAGAGGAGAAAAGGCAAGAAAAAAAAAAAAAAGAAGAAAAAGAAGGAAAGGGGGAAAAGGGAAGAAGAAGAGAAGAGAGGGAGAGAAGAAAGAGAGAGGAGAGGAATTAAAAAGAAAGAAACCAGAAGAAAGGAGGAGGAAAGGGGAAAGGGGGGACAAGAGCCCCCCGGAGAGAGAGAAAAGAGAGAGGAGTAAAGTTTTAAGTCAAAACTGACAAGTGGTGGACAGAAAGTGACAGTAGCAGTGAAGAGTGTTAGAGTTAGAGACGTGGAGTGAACAAGAGGACACATAGCTAAAGAGGACAGAAGACAGGAACAAAGATACTGTACACATGAAAGAAACAAGATAATGTACACATGAAGGAAACAAGATACTGTACACATGAAGGAAACAAGATACTGTACACATGAAGGAAACAAGATACTGTACACATAGCCACATAGATATAGAAAGGAACAAAGATACTATACACAGGAGAGTGAATGAATGAAGATACACAGGAGATATATTTATGGTGCAAATATGAGGATAGCCTCACTTGGCGTTGTCCTTAATTTTTTTATTTTTTGTTGTTGTAATTTAGCAGACGCTCTTATCCAGAGCGACTTACAGGAGCAGTTAGGGTTAAGTGCCTTGCTCAAGGGCACATCGACAGATTTGTCACCTTGTCGGCTCGGGGATTAGAACCAGCGACCTTTCGGTTACTGGCACGACGCTCTTACCCACTAAGCCACCTGTCCTAATATGGATCCTGTGTTGTACTGTAGGTACAGGTAAACTATATAGACAGCAGTATGTGGACACCCCTTCAAATTAGTGCATTCGGCTATTTCAGCCACACCCATTGCTAACAGGTGTATAAAATTGAGCACACCGCCATGCAAGCTCCATAGACAAACACTGGCAGTAGAATGGCCTGTACTGAAGAGCTCAGTGACTTTCAACGTGGCACCGTCATAGGATACCACCTTTCCAACAAGTCAGTTCGTAAAATGTCTGCCCTACTAGAGCTTCCCCGGTCAACTGTAAGTGCTGTTATTGTGAAGTGGAAACGTCTAGGAGCAACAACGGCTCAGCCGCGAAGTGGTAGGCCACACAAGCTCACAGAACGGGACTGACGAGTGCTGAAGTGTGTAGCGCGTAAAAATCATCTGTCCTCGGTTGCAACACTCATTACCAAGTTCCAAACTGCCTCTCAAAGCAAAGTCAGCACAATAACTGTTCGTCGGGAGCTTCATGAAATGGGTTTCCATGGCCGAGCAGCCGCACACAAGCCTAAGATCACCATGCGCAATGCCAAGCTTCGGCTGGAGTGGTGTAAAGCTCGCCGCCATTGGACTCTGGAGCAGTGGAAACGCGTTCTCTGGAGTGATGAATCACACTTCACCAATCTGGGTTTGGCAGATGCCAGGAGAACACTACCTGCCCCAATGCATAGTGCCAACTGTAAAGTTTGGTGGAGGAGGAATAATGAATGGTCTGGGGCTGTTTTTCATGGTTCGGACTAGTCCTCTTAGTTCCAGTGAAGGGATATCTTAACGCTACAGCATACAATGACATTCTAGACGATTCTGTGCATCCAACTTTGTGGCAACAGTTTGGGGAAGGCCCTTTCCAGTTTCAGCATGACAATGCCCCCGTGCACAAAGCGAGGTCCATACAGAAATGGTTTGTCGAGATCGGTGTGGAAGAACTTGACTGGCCTGCACAGAGCCCTGACCTCAACCCCATCGAACACCTTTGGGATTAATTGGACTGCGACCTCACTAATGCTCTTCTGGCTGAATGGAAGCAAGTCCCCGCAGCAATGTTCCAACATCTAGTGGAAAGCCTTCCCAGAAGAGTGGAGGCTGTTATAGCAGCAAAGGGGGGGGGGGACCAACTCCATATTAATGCCCATGATTTTGGAATGAGATGTTCGACGAGCAGGTGTCCACATACTTTTTGGTCACGTAGTGTATATGGTTGATGTATCTCATGCACAGGTGTGTCTAATGTACTGTGTCTGCCTGATGCGAACAACATACGTACCCGTCCTTCTCAGAGACGTGGGCTCTGTGGTGCAGCGTCAACACGTAGAGTACGGACATGGAGATGACGCTGAAGGCCATGACGATGACTAGAGCCAGAATGGTCCCCTGCATGAACCTGTGGCTGATGCAGCCCTGCTCTGGAGTCGGACTCTGGAATCACACCACACATTGTAGAACTTGTCATGAGCATGTGTGCCCCCTTATAATATATGTTATTCATAATATATGTTAATAATAATAATAATAATATCTGTTAATCATAATATCTGTCAATCAAAAAATCTGTTCATCATAATGATCCTGACTAAATACCATCCATTTTGAGTCCATAGACATTTTGATACATAGAGAAACATACAGGTCAGAGAGACTCACCTTGCTTCCAGGTTTGACTGTCTTCTTCTTCTTCAGAGGGCCACTTCCTGTCCTGCTGAACTGGCTTCCTGATTGGCTGGAGAGACAGTAAGAAGATTAAATCATCCACCAAATACATAGAGTATGTCAAATAATTTCATGTGATTAAACTGTGTTTGATTAAGTTTGCATTGTTACGTTATCCTACCAACAGTGTAAACTCAGAGCTAAATCAGGTGCAGCTATTGAAAGTATTTGACATGCAACGTATAATATCCAGGTGTGGCTCACCTGGTGGTGCCTCCGCTGACACTGCTCTTCATGCTGTCCAGACGGCGGAGTTTGGCCAGCTTCCTGCTCCAGCGCTCTAGCTCATCTATACGAGTCTCCAGGTTGTCAGTCAGTTTACACAGCTCCTTCACTGCTCCGACGTTCTCCATAAAGATACGGTCCTAGAGAGAGAGAGAGAGAGAGAGAGAGAGAGAGAGAGAGAGAGAGAGAGAGAGAGAGAGAGAGAGAGAGAGAGAGAGAGAGAGAGAGAGAGAGAGAGAGAGAGAGAGAGAGAGAGAGAGAGAGAGAGAGAGAGAGAGAGAGAGAAAGAGAGAGAGAGGCACAGAGGTTAGTGTTTGTGTGTCTGTTGCCATATTCCGGAAACTTTTCCAAAGTTGACGGGCTCTTCAGAAATCTCGGTTGGGAGGATTTCCCGTTTCCCTCCCCAGTTATTCCCTCCTGTTTCCAGGAATTCTCCAACTTGGATTTCTAAAAGTACTTGGGGAAAGTTTCCAGAATTTTGCAACCGTACCAAGTACATACAGTATTCTTGGTTGCTGTGTTTGTGTTCGTGTGTGTGTGCGTGCGTGGCATGTGTGTCTCACCTTGTTAACCATCAGTAGTTTAGGGATGGTCTCTCCGTTGGAGCAGATCACGTCTGCGCCCTCCTTCACGGCTTCAGGCAGGATCTGCTGCACCTCCTGAGCAATCACTCCTAGATAAAACAACACCTTACTGTAAGCTCCTATCACTCCTAGATAATACAACACCTTACTGTAAGCTCCTATCACTCCTAGATAAAACAACACCTTACTGTAAGCTCCTATCACTCCTAGATAATACAACACCTTACTGTAAGCTCCTATCACTCCTAGATAAAACAACACCTTACTGTAAGCTCCTATCACTCCTAGATAATACAACACCTTACTGTAAGCTCCTATCACTCCTAGATAATACAACACACTACTGTAAGCTCCTATCACTCCTAGATAATACAACACACGACTGTAAGCTCCTATCACTCCTAGATAATACAACACCTTACTGTAAGCTCCTATCACTCCTAGATAATACAACACCTTACTGTAAGCTCCTATCACTCCTAGATAATACAACACCTTACTGTAAGCTCCTATCACTCCTAGATAATACAACACCTTACTGTAAGCTCCTATCACTCCTAGATAATACAACACCTTACTGTAAGCTCCTATCACTCCTAGATAATACAACACCTTACTGTAAGCTCCTATCACTCCTAGATAATACAACACCTTACTGTAAGCTCCTATCACTCCTAGATAATACAACACCTTACTGTAAGCTCCTATCACTCCTAGATAATACAACACCTTACTGTAAGCTCCTGGAGACAGGGGTCATAGGTGAAAGGTCTGTAAGAGCAGCATGTATACAGACAGACACAAAGCCACACTAATCCAATCCAATGTACAGGAGGATATACAAAATAAAAATAACTCACCGATACAAATGTCAAGATGGGAATGCAATACATTTCTAGTGATACTGATTGCTGTTAATTCATTGTCTATAATGTATAACCCAAAACTCCAGTGTTGTATAAGTTACCAGTCTCTTGGTTGGTGTCTATGCCCATGCTGGAAGCAAACTCAGGCTTGTACTGATAATGAACCAGCCTCATCTGACTGATCCGCTTCAGGTTGTCTGTAGTGTCCACCTACACAGACACACACACACACACACACACACCTGGATGTGACTACGAAGCTACATTACAGACAGGTACATAGAGCTAAAGGTATGGTTTCAGGACGACGACCAGGAAACAGGATATAAAAGGTTGTGAATTATTGCGACACAAATGAATAACCATTCTGTCAGGGAATATTTTTTGATTAAGATCGAGCATGCGTATTTTTTTTTTTCTTCCATAACTACACAAAACGTGCAGACATCCCCTCACCTCGTGGACGTTCTCTTTAGCCCGTATGTCCGAAGGGTGAACCAGTGAGCCCATGACCTTCAGGTTGCCGTGGATGACCATGGCCTCGTCTGGCCGGTCGGTGTTGATGCCGACCCGGCCGTGGTGGTAGACGGAGTCGGGCAGCTGGCCGCGCTGCCACAGCACCTCACTGTCACTCTCAAACTGACCTGGGTTAGACGCCTTTAACCAGAAAGAGGGACGGACAACGGAAACATGTAGAGTTGAGGGGAGCTGTAGAATATCCTTTGAGTTACATTCGTAATAACAGGTCCTGGATTCTTCTTTTGTTTGCAGTGCTAGTAATATCCCTATACACTGAGTAGCTTCCTACGTTGTTTTTTTGCTGATCTGCATGGAATGTTTAACAGCCTCACCACAGATATAAATATCCCCCCCCCCAGTTATTTTCCAAGGTAAATATTGAGATATTTGAGATCAGAGGAGGACGGTCAGACAAACACGGCCAGACTGACAGAGGTTACCCTGACGATGATCCTCTCGGACACCTGCGCCGCCACGGTGAAGCTCTGACTGTGGGCCTGGACCTCCAGCGCCACCACCAACATGAAGTACCTGCAGTCGGGTAAACGTTGGGGTTTAATCACACCTTTGTTTCTTTGTGTCTACAGTCGTGGTCAAAAAAGTTTTCAGAATGAGCGCAAATACTTAATTTTCACAAAGTCTGCTGCCTCAGTTTTGATGATGGCGTTTTGCATACACTCCAGAATGTCATGGAGAGTGATCAGATGAATTGCAATTAATTGCAAAGTCCCTCTTTGCCATGAAAATGAACTTAATCCCCCAAAAAACATTTCCACTGCATTTCAGCCCTGCCACAAAAGGACCAGCTGACATCATGTCAGTGATTATCTCGTTAACACAGGTGAGAGTGTTGACGAGGACAAGGCTGGAGATCACTCTGTCATGCTAATTGAGTTAGAATAACAGACTGGAAGCTTTAAAAGGAGGGTGGTGATTGAAATCATTGTTCTTCCTCTGTTAACCATGGTTACCTGCAAGGAAACACGTGCCGTCATCATTGCTTTGCACAAAAAGGGCTTCACAGGCAAGGATATTGCTGCTAGTAAGATTGCACCTGAATCAACCATTTATCAGATCATCAATAACTTCAAGGAGAGAGGTTCAATTGTTGTGAAAAAGGCGTCAGGGCGCCCAAGAAAGTCCAGCAAGCGCCAGGACCGTCTCCAATGCCTTTTCCAGCATGATAGAGCACCTTGCCATAAGGCAAAGGTGATAACTAAGTGGCTCAGGGAACAAAACATCAACATTTTGGGTCCATGGCCAGGAAACTCCCCAGACCTTAATCCCATTGAGAACTTGTGGTCGATCCTCAAGAGGCGGGTGGACAAACAAAACCCCACAAATTCTGACAAACTCCAAGCATTGATTATGCAAGAATGGGCTGCCATCCAGTCAGGATGTGGCCCAGAAGTTAATTGACAGCATGCCAGGGCGGATTGCAGAGGTCTTGAAAAAGAAGGGTCAACACCGCAAATATTGACTGTTTGCATAAACTTCATGTAATTGTCAATAAAAGCCTTTGACGCTTATGGAATGCTTGTAATTATACTTCAGTATACCATAGTAACATCTGACAAAAATATCTCATAACACTGATGCTACGAACCTTGTGAAGACCAATACTTGTGTCATTCTCAAAACTTTTGACCACGACTGTATGTATTTCCATTAAATGTATTTGACGGCCATGAAGTCAAGTAAAGTGTACACTCTTTAAAGGGGCAAACTGTATGTAGCAATTTCAGATTGCCCCTTTAACTGTGACTATAAGGATGATTTAGCTCTGGTCTGCTGCCTATTGTTAGTGTAGTAGCTCTGGTCTGCTGCCTATTGTTAGTGTAGTAGCTCTGGTCTGCTGCCTATTGTTAGTGTAGTAGCTCTGGTCTGCTGCCTATTGTTAGTGTAGTAGCTCTGGTCTGCTGCCTATTGTTAGTGTAGTAGCTCTGGTCTGCTGCCTATTGTTAGTGTAGTAGCTCTGGTCTGCTGCCTATTGTTAGTGTAGTAGCTCTGGTCTGCTGCCTATTGTTAGTGTAGTAGCTCTGGTCTGCTGCCTATTGTTAGTGTAGTAGCTCTGGTCTGTTGCCTATTGTTAGTGTAGGAGCTCTGGTCTGCTGCCTATTGTTAGTGTAGTAGCTCTGGTCTGTTGCCTATTGTTAGTGTAGTAGCTCTGGTCTGCTGCCTATTGTTAGTGTAGTAGCTCTGGTCTGCTGCCTATTGTTAGTGTAGTAGCTCTGGTCTGCTGCCTATTGTTAGTGTAGTAGCTCTGGTCTGCTGCCTATTGTTAGTGTAGTAGCTCTGGTCTGCTGCCTATTGTTAGTGTAGTAGCTCTGGTCTGCTGCCTATTGTTAGTATATTATCTCTGGTCAGGGTGCGTTAGTATATTACCTCTGGTCAGGGTGGGGTGTGTTAGTATATTACCTCTGGGTCAGGGGTGTGTTAGTATATTACCTCTGGTCAGGGTGTGTTAGTATATTACCTCTGGTCAGGGTGGGGTGCGTTAGTATATTACCTCTGGTCAGGGTGTGTTAGTATATTACCTCTGGTCAGGGTGGGTGGTTTCGTATATTACATCTATGGGTAAGCAGTGTGTTGTGGTAGTTGTGATTAGTATATTAACTCTGGTGCAGGGTGGGGTGTGTAGATTATATTATCCTCTGGTAAGGCGCTGTGTTCGGTGTTAGTATATTAACTCTGGGTAAGGGTGGGGGTGTTAGTATATTAAATAGGGCAGGGTGGTGCAGTATATTACCTTGGTCAGGGATGTGTCTGTGTTAGTATATTACCTCTGGTAGGGTGCTTAGTATATTACCTGGGTAAGGGTGGTGTTTGTGTTAGTATATTTGAAATTGCAGGGTGTTGTGTTGTGTTAGTATATGACCTCTGCGTAAGGGTGGGGGGTGTTAGGTAATATTACTCGGTCAGGGTGTGGTTAGTAATTAACTGGTAAGGGGTGCGGTTGGTGTGTAGTTATTACATCTGGTCAAGGGTGTGTTAGATATTTAATATGGGAGGGGTGGGGTGCTGTTGTGTTAGTATATGACATCTGGTAAGGGTGTGGGGTGTGTTAGTTATATTACATATGGTCGGGTGCGTGAGTATATTACCTCGAAGTCAGGGGTTGGGTTATGTATTTATCTCTGGTAAGGGTGGTAGTATATTACCTCTGGTAATGGGTGGTAGTCGTATCACACTATGGTTAAGGGGGGTTAGTGGGTTAGGAAATAGCTATATTAAGATGGTAAGGGGGTTGGTGTTTGTGTTAGTTATACATTATGGGTAAGGTGTGGGGTGTAGTATATTAAAGTATGGGTAAGGGTTGTGGTAGGCTATTACATATGGTCAGGGTCGTGTGGTAGTTATATAAATTGGTAAGGGGGATGTGTAGTATATTAACGTCTGGTAGGCGTGTGTTAGTATTTACCTTGGTCAGGGCTACAGGCATTGTTGTGGGGAGTGACAATTAACCTCTGGTAAGGGTTGGGGTGTGTTTTTTGTTAGTAGTTAACTCTGGGAGGGTGGGGGGATTGTGTAGTTTGCTAGTATATTAACCCTGGTCAGGGTGTGTTAGTATAGTACCTCTGGTCAGGGCTATGAGTTAGTATATTACCTCTGGTCAGGGTGGGGTTGTGTTAGATTTACAATCTGGTAAGGGGTGTGAGTTATTACCTCTGGTTTCAGTGGGGTGTGTTAGTATATTAATATGTAAGCATTGGTGTGTTAGTATATTATCCTATGGTTCGGGTGTGTTAGTTATTTACTATGGTCCGGCGGCGTTAGTATTTACCTCTGGTCGGGTGCTTTGGTAGTATATTACCTCTGGTCAGGGTGGGGGTGGTTAGATATTACCCTGGTCAGGGTGTGTTATTAATAAATATGTTCAAGGGTGGGGTTCTGAGTTGGGGGTTGTGGTGTGGGGATGGTTGGTGTTCGTATTTACACTCTGGTCAGGGTGGGGTTGTGTTGTGTTAGTATTACCTATGGTCAGTGGTTAGTATATTACCTTGGTCAGGGGGTTGTGTTAGATAAAATTGCGTAAGGGTGGTGTGTTTGTGTAGTTTATGGTGTGTCGTATATTAAATATGTTCAGAGGTAGGGGGTGTGTTAGATATTACCTCTGCTCAGGGGTGTTAGGTATATTACCTCTGGTCAGTGGGGTTAGTTATATTGCACTTTGGTCAGTGGTTGATGTTGTGTAGTATTATTAAATCTGGTCAGGGTGAGGGATGTTTCTGTTGTTAGGATAATACCTGGTCAGGGTGTGTTAGTATATTACCTCGGTCAAGGGCTAGGGGTGTGCTAGTATATTACTATGGTTAAGGGTGGTGGTGTTAGTATTAGTAATATGTAAGGGTTGGGTGTTGTGTTAGTATATTATAATAGTCAGGGTGGGGGGTGTCGGAGTATATTACCCTCGGTCAGGGTGTTGCGTCGTCATATGACTAGGGGTCAGGGTGTGTTGTGTGTTGAGTATATTAACTCTGGTCAGGGTGGGGTTGGTTAGTAGTTTAGCCAAATGGTCAGGGTGGGGTTTGTGTGTTAGTTATATTACCACTGGTCAGGGTGGGGTGTGTTAGTATATTACCACTGGTCAGGGTGGGGTGTGTTAGTATATTACCACTGGTCAGGGTGGGGTGTGTTAGTATATTACCTCTGGTCAGGGTGTGTTAGTATATTACCTCTGGTCAGGGTGGGGTGTTAGTATATTACCTCTGGTCAGGGTGCGTTAGTATATTACCTCGGGTCAGGGTGTGTTAGGATATTACCTCTGGTCAGGGTGTGTTAGTATATTACCTCTGGTCAGGGTGTGTTAGTTATTACCTCTGGTCAGGGTGTGTTAGTATATTACCTCTGGTCAGGGTGTGTTAGTATATTACCTCTGGTCAGGGGTGTGTTAGTATATTACCTCTGGTCAGGGTGTGTTAGTATATTACCTCTGGTCAGGGTGTGGGTTTAGTATATTACCTCTGGTCAGGGTGTGTTAGTATATTACCTCTGGTCAGGGGGGTTAGGAGATTACCTATGGTCAGCGTGTGTGCTTGCGTTTGTTTAGTATATTACCTCTGGTCAGGTTTGTTTATATGTGTTGTGTGTTAGAATTATCCTTCTGGTCGGGTGTGTAGTATATTACCTCTGGTCAGGGTGTGTTAGTGTATTTACTCTGAGCAGGGCTGGGTGTTAGGATTTACCTCTGGTCAGGGGTGGTGTATATTACTCTGGTCAGGTGGGGTTGGGTTGAGATATTACTCTGGTCAGGGGTGTAGTGTATTACCTTGGTCAGGGTGTGTTAGGATATTACCTCTGGTCAGGGTGGGTGTGTTAGTATATGACATATGGTCAGGGTGTGTAGCTGTTGTATTACCTCTGGTCAGGGTGGGGTAGTGATATTACATCTGGAAGGGTGGGGGTTGTGTAGTATATTACCTCTGGTAAGGGTGGGGTGTGTGTTTAGTATATTACTCTGGGTCAGGGGGTGTTAGTATAATTAACTCTGAGTTCAGGGTGTGTTAGTATATTACCTCTGGTCAGGGTGTGTTAGTATATTACCTCTGGTCAGGGTGGGGTGTGTTAGTATATTACCTCTGGTCAGGGTGGGGTGTGTTAGTATATTACCTCTGGTCAGGGTTGGGTTTGCCTTTCTTCCTCATGTTATTGGCTGTGGTCTCACTGAAGTGTAGTCGTCCCACCGTTACCTTGGTAACCTGCTCCGGGGGCAGTGTCACCCTGCAAACACAAAAACACACATGTATTGTCAGTAATATGTCACATTTCTTTACGTTTTTACACTGTGACGCAGTATTAAAGACTGTAATGTCAACGGTAAAGTGTGCCCACAGTCCTTTCCTGCCACCATAAGATACCCACAAGACCCAGACTCACAGGACTGGTTTGAAGGGTCTCTTGCTGCGGTCTGACTGGGACTGCTCCACGTTAATGGACTGGTTCATTGCTTCCAGCTGGAAGACAGACAGGAGACAGGAAAGAGACAGATAGGAGACAAGAAGGAGACAGACAGGAGACAGACAGGAGGCAGGAAGGAAGGAGACAGGAAGGAGTCAGACAGGAGTCAAGAAGGAGACAGACAGGAAGGAGACAGACAGGAGACAGGAAGGAGACAGGAAGGAGTAAGACAGGAGTCAAGAAGGAGACAGACAGGAAGGAGACAGACAGGAGACAGGAAGGAGACAGGAAGGAGTACGACAGGAGTCAAGAAGGAGACAGACAGGAGACAGACAGGAGACAGGAAGGAAGGAGACAGGAAGGAGTAAGACAGGAGTCAAGAAGGAGACAGACAGGAAGGAGACAGACAGGAGACAGGAAGGAGACAGGAAGGAGTAAGACAGGAGTCAAGAAGGAGACAGACAGGAAGGAGACAGACAGGAGACAGGAAGGAGACAGGAAGGAGACAGGAAGGAAGGAGACAGGAAGGAGTACGACAGGAGTCAAGAAGGAGACAGACAGGAGACAGACAGGAGGCAGGAAGGAAGGAGACAGGAAGGAGACAGACAGGAGTCAAGAAGGAGACAGACAGGAAGGAGAAAGACAGGAGACAGGAAGGAGACAGGAAGGAAGGAGACAGGAAGGAGACAGACAGGAGTCAAGAAGGAGACAGACAGGAAGGAAGGAGACAGACAGGAGACAGGAAGGAGAGAGACAGGAAGGAGGCAGACAGGAGACAGGAAGAAGACAGACAGGAGACAGGAAGGAGACAGACAGGAAGGAGACAGACAGGAGACAGGAAGGAGACAGACAGGGACAGGAAGGAGACAGACAGGAGACAGGAAAGAGACAGACAGGAGACAGGAAGGAGACACGAGGGAGACAGACAGCAGACAGGATGGAGTCAGACAGGAGACAGGACGGAGACAGACAGGAGAGAGACAGTAGACAGGAAGGAGACAGACAGGATACAGGAAGGAGACAGGAGGGAGACAGACAGTAGACAGGAAAGAGACAGACAGGAGACAGGAAAGAGACAGACAGGAACAGGTGTTGAAAGACCCTGTTCAACTGAGTATCTTCCATTTTACATGTTCGTCATTTAACAGACGCTTTATCCAGCGAGATTTACAGTTAGTGGATTCATCTTAACAGACGCTTTATCCAGAGAGATTTACAGTTAGTGAATTCATTTTAAGATAGCTAGGTGAGACAACCACATTACCACCATGATTTGGGTCAATTCCATTTTGAAACCTCCTGAAATTGACTGAATTGAAATGTAATTGACCCCAAACCCTGATCACCCATCTCCCCACCTCCCTCACCTTAACCCCGTTGAGTTTGAGATAAAAGCAGTCTATGGGCTGCAGGCCCTCGCTGGTCTTGATGTACTTGGGATCTCCCAGCATGCCGCAGTACACAGTAACCTGGAAGTGGTTCTTTTTCTGACACACAAAGGCGTCGTCTGCCAGGGAGAAGTTGAAGCCCTTGTCAGCGTCTACGCGGTAGGTGGGCATCGGACTGGAGAGAGTAAGAGATGGATGGAGAGGGAGTCAACGTAAGGTTTCTCAGTAGGTTCATATGGGGTCACATACTGTAGGGCCATATGGAGTCACATACTGTAGGGCCATATGGGGTCACATACTGTAGGGCCATATGGGGTCACATACTGTAGGGCCATATGGGGTCATATACACACTGTACAAAACATTAGGAACACCTGCTCTTTCCATGACATAGACCAGTGTTTCCCAACCCTGGTCCTCCATTAACCCCAACAGCTCAACCCTGGTCCTCCACTAACCCCAACAGCCCAACCTTGGTCCTCCACTAACCCCAACAGCCCAACCCTGGTCCTCCACTAACCCCAACAGCCCAACCCTGGTCCTCCACTAACCCCAACAGCCCAACCTTGGTCCTCCACTAACCCCAACAGCCCAACCCTGGTCCTCCATTAACCCCAACAGCCCAACCCTGGTCCTCCACTAACCCCAACAGCCCAACCCTGGTCCTCCACTAACCCCAACAGCCCAACCTTGGTCCTCCACTAACCCCAACAGCCCAACCTTGGTCCTCCACTAACCCCAACAGGGCGTGTCTTTGAACGGGGCATCGGTTTGAGTGTGTCAAGAACTGCAACGCTGCTGGGTTTTTCACACTCAACAGTTTGCTGTGTGTATCAAGAATGGTCCACCACGCAAAGGGCATCCAGCCAACTTGACACAACTGTGGGAAGCATTGCAGTCAACATGGGCCAGCATCCCTGTGGAATGCTTTCGACACCTTGTAGAGTCGATGCCCTGATTTGGTCACAAGTCATCCAAAGTTATGGACAAACAAATCCCAAATGAACAACATTATCAAAAGTGTTAACAGGCTCAAAGGCGCTGCATGGTCAATCCAACGTCTGAATTGGCCGTGCAGCCTTTACTGTGATACGGCCTCTGCAGAAGTCAGGGCATTCATACTTCTTGCTCTTCGCTGAGCAGAGCTGTTGTGAACGAAGTTGTCAAGGAAGTGAGTTTGTGTTTATACAGGACCTCCCGCCCCAACCTATCATAAACCAATCATGTCAATGCGGAGCTATACGGAGCCCTTCCGCATTGTAGAACAATTTGGGAGGCACACAGCGACGCGGTACGGAGGTCGGTTTGGCCTCCGCAAGACTCCGAAATGTGTCACACCCTCTGTACAGAGCCTCCAGATCGCATTTCCGGAGCAAGCATGAATTGGTTTTTATTCCAGCGTCTACATAGAACACAAAATGAATGTAATTCTAATCGTAAACACTAGGGGGAGACTGTGCCACAGTCATGTGGAAGACCTTTCACAGACCCCACTATGGTTTATGAGGACAAAGCTTATTCCTAATCCTAATACTATAACATATATTTCATCCAGATCATAATGTCGTAAACGTGAGTGTATCAGCTACGATGAGCCACCTGTTGATGACGATAACGAAATGGTACGCACCCCTTATCCCTCAACCCCCACCCCTTATCCCTCACCCCCCACCCCTTATCCCTCAACCCCACCCCTGATCCCTCAACCCCCACCCCTTATCCCTCAACTCCTTATCCCCCACCCCACCCCCCCACCCCTTATCCTCACTCCTTATCCCCCCCCCACCCCCCCCACCCCCTTATCCCTCAACCCCCACCCCTTATCCCTCAACCCCTTCCCTCACCCCCCACCCCTTATCCCTCAACCCTTATCCCCCACCCCCCACCCCTTATCCTCAACCCCTTATCCCCCACCCCCCCACCCCCTTATCCCTCAACCCCCTTATCCCTCACCCCCCACCCCTTATCCCTCAACCCTTATCCCCCCACCCCCCCACCCCTTATCCCTCAACCTCAGACTTCCCAGTTCGGCATAGTAATGTGCACAAGTAGGTGATTGCACATTTATCCTCCACCCCCCTCCCCTCCACAGTTCTCCCCTCCTCCTCCACCCCCCTCCACTCCTCTCCCCTCTCCTCACACCCCCCTCCCCTCCACAGTTCTCCCCTCCTCCTCCACCCTTCTCCACCCTTCTCCCCCCCGTTCTCCACCCCTTCCTCCACCCCTCTCCCCTCTCCTCCACCCCCCCTTCTCCCTTCCCCTCCCCCCGTTCTCCTCCCCTCTCCTCCACCCCCTCCTATCCCTTCATTCTCTTCTCTCCTCCCCTCATATTCTTTCTTGACCGAAACCCTGCTCTTACTGACTCCCCCGCATCGCTCACCTCCAAGGAATTTGTAGAACCCTACACTTATTTTTTTGTTCCTTCTCTTCTCTCTCTAGATCATTCTATCCCTCCCTCCTTGAACCCTATTAAACATCTCTCGTCTCTCTCTTTCCTTCTCTCGATCTCGCTCTCTTTGTCTCTCTCTTCTCTCGCATCTTACCTTTCTCTTCTCACTCTCTCAACCTCACTCTTTTTTTCTCTATCTCTGTATTGTATACATTCAATCTTTGTCACTATCCTCTATAACAGAAACAACACTATCCTCTATAACAGAAACATCACTGTCCTCTATAACAGAAACATCACTATCCTCTATAACAGAAACATCACTATCCCCTATAACAGAAACATCACTATCCTCTATAACAGAAACATCACTGTCCTCTATAACAGAAACATCACTATCCCCTATAACAGAAACATCACTATCCTCTATAACAGAAACATCACTATCCTCTATAACAGAAACAACACTATCCTCTATAACAGAAACATCACTATCCCCTATAACAGAAATATCACTATCCCCTATAACAGAAACATCACTATCCTCTATAACAGAAACATCACTGTCCTCTATAACAGAAACAACACTATCCTCTATAACAGAAACATCACTATCCTCTATAACAGAAACATCACTGTCTTCTATAACAGAAACATCACTATCCTATATAACAGAAACATCACTGTCCTCTATAACAGAAACATCACTATCCCCTATAACAGAAACATCACTATCCTCTATAACAGAAACATCACTGTCCTCTATAACAGAAACATCACTATCCCCTATAACAGAAACATCACTATCCTCTATAACAGAAACATCACTATCCTCTATAACAGAAACAACACTATCCTCTATAACAGAAACATCACTATCCCCTATAACAGAAACATCACTATTCTCTATAACAGATACAACACAAAGAAATAACAAATGGACATATATAGTGTACAGTAATTTCAGTTGATAGAGAGTAGTGGGACACCCACAGCTCTTTGCAGTTGATGTCATACAGCGGCGTCCATTTATTCTGCTGGTGCGGCTGCCACTTTATGCACTGGTAGTTAGGGTCCAGGTAGGAGTTATCTGCATCCGCCATCAAACCTGGGCCAGAAACAATGTCTACTGCGTAAGGGGGAAACACAAGATCACATTTTAATCTGCATATTTGTATGCCTTTTCTACACAACACAGGGTTGCAGAATTCTGGTACATTTTCCAAATTCCCAGGTTTTCCAGAAATCCTGGTTGGATCCCCCAGCTAGTATTTCTGGAAAACCTGATAATTTGGGTAAAGTTATCCGGATTATTGCAACCTTAGCACCACATGTTGCCAAGGACAGGGAGAGAGAGAGAGAGAGAGAAGAGAAGAGAGAGAGAGAGAGAAGAGAGATACATGCAGAGAGAGAAAATAGAGAAATGTTCGATAGACAGACAAGCAGAGCGAGAGAGAGAAAGAAAGAGAAAGAGAGTGAAAGAAAGAGAGACAGACAAAGATATGCCTGCCTACCTGGCTCCTGTTTGATGATACCTGTGAGGATCTGAGAGTTGAGGGTGCTGTTTGGAGATTCACAGTGCTTTCTCTTCTTCGTCTGGTGGACTGGTATCCCACTGTAAACACACACTCACAATGAAGACACACAAACTAATGTAGGGAAATGAAGCATTTACATTGAGAGATCGATCGATCCGCTAAAACATATTATGATTTGTTATTTGTCTTTCCCTCCCTCCCTCCCTCCCTAACCCTCCCTCCACCCTTCTCCCTCCCTCCCTAACCCTCCCTAACCCTCCCTCCCTCCCTAACCCTCCCTAACCCTCCCTCCCTCCCTCCCTCCCTCTCTCCTACACCCATCCCTTACTCCTGGCCCTTCTGTGAGCACTGCAGCAATCAGTGAAGTATCTCCATTCCCCCTCCCCTTTACAACCTGCTGATTGGTTGAGTGGGTGATTGGCTAGTTGGCTGATTAGTTGGTTGGTTGATCACTCACTCTTGCCCCTGCTGTTGTGGGTGTTGAAGTAGTTGATGTAGTATCTGACTCTGTTGCAGGTCCTGTCCACTCCCACTGGAGGTGGGGCCAACAGGGTACTGTGAGATCATTGGCTCGGGCTTCAGGTACATGTCCCGGTGCATGTTGGGATAGCCGTGGCCGTGTGGGGGTAGCGGTGGCGGGGTCATGTGACACATGTTCTCTGGCGTCATGGTCCTCAGCATGTGAGTGTCTGGAAGACAGGGAGGAATATGTTTAAGCGTTTCATCTGTTCCATTGTTTAGGGGCCCCGTGTAGCTCAGTTGGTAGAGCATGGCGCTTGCAACGCCAGGGTTGTGTGTTCGTTTCCCACGGGGGGCCAGTATGAAAATGTATGCACTCACTAACTGTAAGTCACTCTGGATAAGAGCGTCTGCTAAAATGTAAATGTAAGTTTTACCTGTTTCAAGGTCTGTTCTGACAATAGCTACAACAGCTTGGACTATCACATGGTCTGATAAAAGACCCAGATACACTGAAGGCTGACTACGGTTCCTAGGTTGGTGTATTTAGGTTTTTAATCATCGGTGGCACAGGTTGCAAAACAATATTTTTGCCAGCAAACTTTGACCTCTGATGACAAAGAGTGTGTGTGTTCTATTTGCTGTGAGTGTGAAGATTCCTATCTGGTGAAGCTTCCCATCTGGTGAACCTTCCCATCTGGTGAAGCTTCCCATCTGGTGAACCTTCCCATCTGGTGAAAATTCCCATCTGGTGAACCTTCCCATCTGGTTAACCTTCCCATCTGGTGAACCTTCCCATCTGGTGAACCTTCCCATCTGGTGAACCTTCCCATCTGGTGAAAATTCCCATCTGGTGAACCTTCCCATCTGGTGAAGATTCCCATCTGGTGAACCTTCCCATCTGGTGAAGCTTCCCATCTGGTGAACCTTCCCATCTGGTGAAGATTCCCATCTGGTGAACCTTCCCATCTGGTGAACCTTCCCATCTGGTGAACCTTCCCATCTGGTGAACCTTCCCATCTGGTGAAGCTTCCCATCTGGTGAACCTTCCCATCTGGTGAAGATTCCCATCTGGTGAACCTTCCCATCTGGTGAACCTTCCCGTCACTGAGATCTATATCCAATACTGTAATATTATATTTCATTTTTCATCTAATGTGTAATTAGTCCAGGTTCCCTCCACCCTAGGCTAATGGTACTTTCCATTGTTCCTTCCTGGAGCTCAGCCAATCAGATAAGACATTCCCACACCTTCTCACTGAATGGAAAGACCAACACAGGTGTGAGTGGGGATCAGGTCGTGAGAACATTGTGTTGACGTAAGTAGGCTACTTTGTGAGTTTGTATAGCCTACTACAACTTGTGTTGGAATTCAGAAAGATACATACAATTTCAATGAGAAATGTATTGAAATATACTAAACCTAATCCAGCTATTAGGTATTTAAGATTGCAGATCTTGGAATCTAGATACCATACCAAACATGATATTCCATACAGCTAAAATATTTGATGTATTCAATTTCTATGATCAAATTTAGTCTCCAGATAAATTAGATAAAGTTTAGATGAATAAATGACAGGAATTTCTCTGTAAAGAATGTATTGATTTACATTAACTTATTAACCAAATTCTGTCCAACTCTTGTTCTTCCATTCAAATGACCAGAAGAGATTAGTAACATCTATTGATCTGAACAGAGGCACAGAAGAGAGAGGTGGGTGGATAGACACACCTTGAGTCTAGAACACAGCTTGAGTCTAGAACACACCTTGAGTCTAGAACACAGCTTGAGTCTAGAACACACCTTGAGTCTAGAACACAGCTTGAGTCTAGAACACAGCTTGAGTCTAGAACACACCTTGAGTCTAGAACACACCTTGAGTCTAGAACACAGCTTGAGTCTAGAACACACCTTGAGTCTAGAACACACCTTGAGTCTAGAACACAGCTTGAGTCTAGAACACACCTTGAGTCTAGAACACACCTTGAGTCTAGAACACAGCTTGAGTCTAGAACACACCTTGAGTCTAGAACACACCTTGAGTCAAGAACACAGCTTGAGTCTAGAACACACCTACTTTACCTGTGTAGAGAAACTTTACACCTATGTATACTGCACACCTAGGCTGTGTCCCTAATGGCACCCTATTCCCTACGTAGTGCACTACTTTTAAACAGAGCCCTTTGATCCCTATCGGTCCTGGTCAAAAGCAGTGCACTATATAAGGAATAGGGTGCCATTAGGTACGCCATCCATACAGTACCTCTGTCCGTAAGTATATACTGCACACCTACCTGTGAAAGGATACTGCATCATCAGTCAATCTCTCCGGCTTCACACCCTCTTTTACCACTGATCTGACACATCATAGTCCTCCACTGATCTGACACGTCGTAGTCCTCCACTGATCTGACACGTCGTAGTCCTCCACTGATCTGACACATCATAGTCCTCCACTGATCTGACACATCGTAGTCCTCCACTGATCTGACACATCATAGTCCTACACTGATCTGACACATCGTAGTCCTCCACTGATCTGACACATCATAGTCCTCCACTGATCTGACACATCGTAGTCCTCCACTGATCTGACACATCGTAGTCCTACACTGATCTGACACATCGTAGTCCTCCACTGATCTGACACATCGTAGTCCTCCACTGATCTGACACATCATAGTCCTCCACTGATCTGACACATCATAGTCCTCCACTGATCTGACACGTCATAGTCCTCCACTGATCTGACACATCATAGTCCTCCACTGATCTGACACGTCGTAGTCCTACACTGATCTGACACATCGTAGTCCTCCACTGATCTGACACATCGTAGTCCTCCACTGATCTGACACATCATAGTCCTCCACTGATCTGACACGTCATAGTCCTCCACTGATCTGACACATCGTAGTCCTCCACTGATCTGACACGTCATAGTCCTCCACTGATCTGACACGTCATAGTCCTCCACTGATCTGACACGTCGTAGTCCTCCACTGATCTGACACATCATAGTCCTCCACTGATCTGACACATCATAGTCCTCCACTGATCTGACACATCATAGTCCTCCACTGATCTGACACATCATAGTCCTCCACTGATCTGACACATCGTAGTCCTCCACTGATCTGACACATCGTAGTCCTCCACTGATCTGACACGTCGTAGTCCTCCACCTGACTAACTCCCTGTCAGAGTCACCAACCACTTCTAGACTAAATAACTCCCTGTCTGACTGAGTCTAGAGTCACCAACCACTTCCTGACTAACTAACTCCCTGTTAACTAAATTCCTGACTAACTAACTCCTCCTGAGAGGAGAGGCAGGGGTGAGAGAGAGAGAGAGAGGAGAGGAGAGGCAGGGGCGAGAGAGATAGGAGAGGCAGGGGCGAGAGAGAAGGAGCAGGGCGAGAGAGAGAGAGAGGCGCAGAGAGAGAGGAGAGAGGACAGGGGCGAAAGAGAAGAGAGAGAGGCAGGGCGAAGAGAGAGGAAGGGGCGAGAGGAGAGGAGAGGCAGGGGCGAGAGAGAGAGAAGGAGAGCAGGGCGAGAGGAGAGGATAGACAGGGGCGAGAGAGAGAGAGAGGAGAGGCAGGGCGAGAGAGAGAGAGCAGGGGCGAGAGAGAGAAGGATAGGCAGGTGCGGAGAGAGAGAGAGGAGGCAGGGGCGAAAGAAGAGATAGAGCGGGGCGAGAGAGAGAGGGAGCGAGAGAGAGGAGGAGGAGAGGCAGGGGCGAGAGAGAGAGAGAGGAGAGGAGAAGGCAGGGGGAGAGAGAGAGAAGAGGAGAGGCAGGGGGCAGAGAGAGAGAGGCAGGCGAGAGGAGAGAGAGGCAGGGGCGAGAGAGGGAGAGGAGAGAGAGAGGAGAGGCAGGGGCGAGAGAGAGAGGAGAGGCAGGGGCGAGAGAGAGAGAGGAGAGGCAGGGGCGGAGAGAGAGAGAGAGAGAGAGGCAGGGGCGAAGAGGAGAGAGGAGAGAGGAGGCGGAGAGAGAGAGAGGCAGGGGCGAGAGAGAGAGGAGGAGAGGCAAGGGCGGGGCAGAGAGAGAGAGAGAGAGAGAGGCAGGGGCGAGAGAAGAGGAGAGGCAGGGGCGAGAGAGAGAGAGAGGAGAGGCAGGGGGAGAGAGGAGAAGGAGAGGCAGGGCGAGAGAGAGAGAGAGGAAGGCAGGGGCGAGAAGAGAGGAGCAGAAGGAGAGGCAGGGGCGAGAGAGAGAGAGGAGAGGAGAGGCAGGGGCGAGAGAGAGAGAGGAGAGGCAGGGGCGAGAGAGAGAGGAGAGGCAGGGGCGAGAGAGAGAGAGGAGAGGCAGGGGCAGGGGCGAGAGAGAGAGGAGAGGAGAGGCAGGGGCGAGAGAGAGAGAGGAGAGGAGAGGCAGGGGCAGAGAGAGAGAGGAGAGGCAGGGCGGAGAGAGAGGAAAGGAGGGAGAGGAGAGGCAGGGCGAGAGAGAGAGAGAAGGAGAGGCAGGGGCGAGAGAAGAGGAGAGGCAGGGGCGAGAGAGGAGAGGAGAGGCAGGGCAGAGAGAGAGGAGAGGCAGGGGCGAAAGAGGAGAGGAGAGAGAGTAGAGGCAGGGCAGAGAGAGGAGAGAGGCAGGGGCGAGAGAGAGAGAGGAGAGGCAGGGCGAGAGAGAGAGGAGAGCAGGGGCAGAGAGAGAGAGAGGAGAGCAGGGCGAGAGAGAGAGAGAGGCAGGGCGAGAGAAGAGAGAGGATAGCAGGGGCGAAGTAGGAGAAGAGCTGTGTGCTGAGAGAAGAGATGAGAGATGTCGTGGCAGAGAAAGACTGAGCAGGCTGGAGTATGGCTCAGAGCTGGAGTCTGGGGGGGACTCAGGGAGTGTCCTGGAACATTGAGAGATATTCATATGGTTGGGATAAAGCACTGACTTTGCTGATAGCTGCTTTATTGAGGAAACACTTTATCTACTATGACTGTGATACAGAATGTCGTTTTCAAGATAAATAACTTCCTTTTGCAAAGCGCATCATACTGTGACACTTTCTGTATTTTGAAAGTTGAAAACTTAATTGCTAACATGCAAAACATTTTGGGACTGTATCAACAGTGGACTAATGAAATAATTACCACAAGATAGTTTTTGAGTGGAATTTCCCTTTAAAGGGCCAATCTGCATTTGCTACATCCATTTTTGTACTTGTAATTGAATGATATATGTACCCATTGATTGTTGAAGAATATAACTTATAAATGCCTCATGAGCTTAGTTCAGCTGTCACACGCCATCAGAACCCTAAATAGAAGCTTGTTTTACTCCAATGTTTGTAAACAAAGTAAATGTAAACAAACACTGTACAGCCTCAAAACATGATTAAAACTAGAACGTTGATATCATGGATGGTCAGTCCTTGCATCCATAGCTCTGTCTATTAAATTGAGAGTGGTTACATTTCTCATTTCCCTCAGCTTTTTACAGAAACAGAGGCGGGGCTTCCGTTTTGTTATTGACCGGGAAAACACTTTGTTATTGTTTTAACTAAGGATTGCTGCTTTAAGACGAACGCACTAACAGTAAGTCGCTCTGGATACGATTTTAGAATTTCTCTACAATGATAGTTTTGTTTTCATACATATATTTCTAAAAACAGTGATATGATCTCTAGTTTGTTGTGCAATTGATTGATGACAAGTTATTTCCAGGCCATTGAGTCTGTCTGTCTGTGTACCTGTCTGTCTGTCTGTGTATCTGTCTGTCTGTCTGTATGTCTGTGTGTTGTTTCTGTAATATGACTCGTTTCTGATATCACCCTCCCTCCCCTCTTTGCTGGCCAATGGTTTATTTGTCCAAGTAGAGTTAATCAAGCACTGATTACAAAATGTAACTGAACTCTGACTAGGGTGTGAGTCTGGTTTCACTGTGTGAGGAAGAAAAACGATTTTGTCGAAATGACCCCCTGGGCAAAATCTATGATGACGTTGAATCAACGTGGAAAACTGATTTTGATTTGAAAAAAAGTCATCAACGCAAGGGAATTTCGTATTTATTTTCACCCGACTTTTAATCTAATTCCAACGACACGGTGTTAATGTTGATTCCACGTTGAATTCACGTTAGTTGACAACTCAACCAGACGTAAATCAAAACTCAACGTTGAACCGGTGGGGGAGTCTGAGACTGGCTCCTGCAAGCAGAGTTGGTTCAATTTGAGTTACTGTGATTATCTTTTAATGAAGTTGTAATCTCACTTTGATATTACAACTGCTTCAAAAGCAGCAGGCAATATTATGTCACTGCAACCTGCTGGGACGTCTTTCTCTAACATCATTCCTACACACATCATCAGCTGTTTCCATCCACCCAGAGCCATATGAAAACGCATGGCTCACTCCACGGACCCCTCATCCAGTCAGCTCACCCCGGTGTGTAGTGACCTCTGTGTTCAGGCTTGACGTGGTTCTGCTGCTGCTGGTGGTTCTGCTGGTGGTTCTGTTGCCCCAGGCAGGGGTAATTGTTGTGTCTCAGTAGGCCCGGGGGCGGGGGCGGGGGATAGGGTGTCGGGTGGGGGTTTCCCTGACGTAGGGAGATAGGGGATCTCAGAGTCCCAGCGGAGGAGACTCCGGCCTGGGTTGATGAGTAGGAGTTAGGGCCTGGGGCACCGCTGTGGACCTCAGAGAAACAGCTGGAGAGAGAAAAAACACACAGAGAAGAAAAGATAGAATTGTGTTTAATCGTTATCGGTTCAGTTGGAAATCACAATGGAATAACATGATATGAATTAGTTGTCGTGTTGAAGTCCAGGTAGTTTTTTTTTCTTCAGTTTGGTGCCAAATTAAGATGACCCTGGTTAGATATAGTTGTTGTTGGGTCGCATTTATAAGCTGGTCCCAGATCTGTTTGTGCTGTAGCCAACTCCTATGGTTATTGTACAAAATACAGCAAAAAAACTGATCTGGGAACAGGGTCATATTCATTCGGCAATAAACGAAAGAGAAAAAAAACCGGACTGACTACCTGAAACATTAATTTTCATGAATCGCTCTGAGCCACTCACATGTCAGTGCTGTCGTCCTCCTTGCTGATGTAGTCCTCCAGAATACTGGTGTCAATGTTCGCTGGCTCCAAGGAGCTGGTAATATCATGACCTGCAGAGAGACAGAGAGGCGGTTTGGGAATCTGTCACCACGTTCAAACATTTCCTCTTCTGATGCCAAACGGGATGTAGGATTCTAATTCGCTCTTTAGAGACGACATCATGGAGAATGGAGAACTGGGTCTGTACACCAACGACCGTGGGGTCTGAACACTGAGTCCAGACGGTGTACGTGTGTGTAAGTGTGTGTGTGTGTGTGTGTGTGTGTGTGTGTGTGTGTGTGTGTGTGTGTTGTGTGTGTGTGAGTGAGTTAGTGTGTGTGTGTGTGAGTGAGTGAGTGAATGTGTGTGAGTGAGTGTATGTGTGAGTGATTGAGTGAGTGAGTGAGTGTGTGTGTGTGTGTGTGTGAGTGTGTGAGTGTGTGTGTGAGTGTGTGTGTGTTAGTGAGTGAGTGACTGAGTGTGTGTGTGTGTGTGAGTGAGTGAGTGAGTGAGTGAGTGAGTGAGTGAGTGAGTGAGTGAGTGAGTGAGTGAGTGAGTGAGTGAGTGAGTGAGTGAGTGTGTGTGTGCAGGAAGCTTGAACTAAGAGGTGAGTTGGTGTTGACAGGTGGTTTTATGTTTGGGTACAGGTGACTGTTAATTCATTATCCGGACATACCAAGTTCCCTCTTTTTCTGTCGTACTTTAAAAAATTGTCCTAATATATAAAATTATACTACTACAATACTACATACTATTACTTTCATAAGTACCAAAATACATGCTACTACTTCACCTCCTCCTCCTCCTCCTCCTCCTTCACCTCCTCCTCCTCCTCCTCTTCCTCCTCCTCCTCCTTCACCTCCTCCTCCTCCTTCACCTTCTCCTCCTCCTCCTCCTCCTCCTCCTCCTCCTCCTCCTCCTCCTCCTCCTCCCTCCTCCTTCACCTCCTCCTCCTCATCATCATCATCTTCATCAGTGACTCTTTAAACTCTGCGTAGTTTACTGGGTATACTGGGAGCTGGTTTAAGTGTTGGCGTGTGAAATAATTAATCCCTCTATTCTTTCCCTCCTCTCACCACCACACCCCCTTTCATCCCCCACTCCACCTCTCACTCCAACCAGGGACGTGGGAGCATATTCACCCCTTCTCAGCCAAAGCTCCCCAAATCCCAAACACATGACCCAACCCCATAATCCCCATAAACACACACGCACACATATTTCCAATAGAAATTAACTTTTTTCTGTCACTAAAAGGTAACATTTCCCCCTTCCCATTTTTTGGGGGTAAAAACAGATGGGGGATTTCCATAAAAAAGTGAGTGAGTGTGAGAATAAAGAGGTGGAGAAGGGGTGGAGGGGGTTCTACCTGGAACCAAAAGGGTTCTACCTGGAACCAAAAGGGTTCTACCTGGAACAAAAAGGGTTCTTCAAAGGGTTCTCTCATTCTCCTATGGGGAGAAGTACCCTTTTTGGTTCTAGATAGCAACTTTTTCTCTGTACCCACAAAACCCCAGACCTCTCCCTCGCTCTCTCTCTCTTTTTTTCTTGCTCTCCCCCCCCCCCCCCCCCTCCCAGTCTTTGATAGATTAAGCTGCTACTCAGTTCGGAATGTCAAGAATTTATCTGTTAGTGTTGGATAAACTATTTTCTTTCTCTCTCTCTCTCTCTTCACCCTCTGTCTCAAAACCCTCGCAATTTCAAATCTCACTGATCAGTGCTTAGGCACCGCTCAGTCTCTCCCTGACAAGGGAGAGAGCAAGATAGAGCGTGAAAATAGTTCTAGATGGGATATCTTGAGATTCAAAGTTATTGGTTCACTCTTATAAATAAGGTACTATCTAGAACCTAAACGTTTTTGGGGGGCTGTCCCCATAGGAGAACTCTCTGGAACCCAAAAGAGTTCTACCTGAAAACAAAAAGGGTTCTACCTGGAACCAAAAGGGTTCTACCTGGAACCAAAAGGGTTCTACCTGGAACCAAAAGGGTTCTACCCGGAACCAAAAGGGTTCTACCTGGAACCAAAAGAGTTCTACCTGAAAACAAAAAGGGCTCTCCTATGGGGACAGCCGAAGAACCCTTTTGGAACCCTTTTATCTAGGAGTGGAGGACAATGGAAAGTCTGCAAAACAATTCAGCAAATGCCTTCATCTTGAGATGAGAAGTTATTCAGCAACTCTTGATGGGACAAGGGAAGTTTGCTTGAAAGTTTTGCAAATGCCTTCAACAGGGTATTTCAGACTGGGTGTCTTACCTAAAGCCTCGTTCACACTGCACTTAGCCTTGGGCTAACAGCTGCCTTAGCCTGGGGCTAAGAACCATGCTGTGTAAAAAGGCCTATGGAGTGTTGTTGTCAAGCCCCATCAGGATGGTTTATTATCCAGTTAATTAACTTATTCCAAGGTCAGAAACCAGCCACGGTGGACAACAAAGCAGCCTGGGGGGTCTGTAACAGCTAAGAGCTCCAGTGCTGAGGTCAGTAACATCTCCCCGGTGTTACTGAGGTCAGTGATATCTCCCCGGTGTTACTGAGGTTAGTGATATCTCCCCGGTGTTACTGAGGTTAGTGATATCTCCCCGGTGTTACTGAGGTCAGTGATATCTCCCCGGTGTTACTGAGGTTAGTGATATCTCCCCGGTGTTACTGAGGTCAGTGATATCTCCCCGGTGTTACTGAGGTCAGTGATATCTCCCCGGTGTTACTGAGGTTAGTGATACCTCCCCGGTGTTACTGAGGTTAGTGATATCTCCCCGGTGTTACTGAGGTCAGTGATATCTCCCCGGTGTTACTGAGGTTAGTGATATCTCCCCGGTGTTACTGAGGTCAGTGATATCTCCCCGGTGTTACTGAGGTTAGTGATATCTCCCCGGTGTTACTGAGGTTAGTGATATCTCCCCGGTGTTACTGAGGTCAGTGATATCTCCCCGGTGTTACTGAGGTATCACATCACATACATTAGTCAACGGTTGAACGACTGTTCATCAAGTTTCAAGTTTTATTAGTCGTACGTACAGGATACACATGGTGTACACCGTCCAATGAAATGCTTACTTTCAGGTTCCTTCTGGACAATGCAACAACAATAATACATAATAAAAGGTAAGAATACCAATATAAAGTAAATGGATCAGTAGAACAGAATAGACATTTAGCATCAGTATGATACAGGAAGACAACATTTATAGGCCAATATTTATACATGTTTTGGGGGCAAGTGTTTAAATTGTGCAGTATTTAGCAATCATAATAAGAGTCTGGTAGCAGCAGTTGTATGTGTGTGTAGCATGAATGTGTGTGTGTGTGTGTGTGTGTGTGTGTGTGTGTGTGTGTGTGTGTGTGTGTGTGTGTGTGTGTGTGTGTGTGTGTGTGTGTGTGTGTGTGTGTGTGTGTGTGTGTGTGTGTGTGTGTGTGTGTGTGTGAGTGAGTGCATGTGTGCTAAGGTGCAGAGAATCAGAGCAGGTGGTCAGTCCAGTTCAAGTGTTCAGCAGTCTGATAGCTTGTAGATAGAAACTGTCTCTGAGCCTGTTGGTATCAGACCTCATGCTCCGGTACCGTCTGATAGCTTGTAGATAGAAACTGTCTCTGAGCCTGTTGGTATCAGACCTCATGCTCCGGTACAGTCTGATAGCTTGTAGATAGAAACTGTCTCTGAGCCTGTTGGTATCAGACCTCATGCTCCGGTACCGTCTGATAGCTTGTAGATAGAAACTGTCTCTGAGCCTGTTGGTATCAGACCTCATGCTCCGGTACAGTCTGATAGCTTGTAGATAGAAACTGTCTCTGAGCCTGTTGGTATCAGACCTCATGCTCCGGTACAGTCTGATGGCTTGTAGATAGAAACTGTCTCTGAGCCTGTTGGTATCAGACCTCATGCTCCAATACAGTCTGATGGCTTGTAGATAGAAACTGTCTCTGAGCCTGTTGGTATCAGACCTCATGCTCCGGTACCGTCTGATGGCTTGTAGATAGAAACTGTCTCTGAGCCTGTTGGTATCAGACCTCATGCTCCGGTACCGTCTGATGGCTTGTAGATAGAAACTGTCTCTGAGCCTGTTGGTATCAGACCTCATGCTCCGGTACCGTCTGGCTGACAGTAAGGGAGTGAACAGCTCGTGGCTGGGGTGTGGGGGGTCCTTGATGATGCTGCGGTACTTCCTCAGGCACTGTTTCAAGTGGAGGTCCTGGATGGGTGGGAACATGGTCCCAGTGATGTACTGGATGGGGTGGGAACATGGTCCCAGTGATGTCCTGGATGGGTGGGAACATGGTCCCAGTGATGTCCTGGATGGGGTGGGAACATGGTCCCAGTGATGTACTGGATGGGGTGGGAACATGGTCCCAGTGATGTACTGGATGGGGTGGGAACATGGTCCCAGTGATGTCCTGGATGGGTGGGAACATGGTCCCAGTGATGTCCTGGATGGGGGGTGGGAACATGGTCCCAGTGATGTCCTGGATGGGGTGGGAACATGGTCCCAGTGATGTCCTGGATGGGGTGGGAACATGGTCCCAGTGATGTCCTGGATGGGTGGGAACATGGTCCCAGTGATGTCCTGGATGGGGTGGGAACATGGTCCCAGTGATGTACTGGATGGGGTGGGAACATGGTCCCAGTGATGTCCTGGATGGGTGGGAACATGGTCCCAGTGATGTCCTGGATGGGGTGGAAACATGGTCCCAGTGATGTCCTGGATGGGTGGGAACATGGTCCCAGTGATGTCCTGGATGGGTGGGAACATGGTCCCAGTGATGTCCTGGATGGGTGGGAGCACGGTCCCAGTGATGTCCTGGATGGGTGGGAGCACGGTCCCAGTGATGTACTGGGCCATCTTCACCACCCGCTGGAGGGCCTTGCAGTCGTGGACGGAGCAATTCCTGTACCAAGCCGTGATGCAACCGGTCAGGAGGCTCTTGATGGTTCAGCGGTAGTATTTTGAGAGGACCCGGGGTGGCATGCCAAATTTCTTCAGCCGCCTTAGGAAGTAGAGATGCTGTTGCGCCCTCTTGACAAGAGTGGTGGTGTTGTTGGTCCATGACAAGTCCTCGGTGATGTGGACGCCAAGGAACTTAAAACATTGTGACTCTCTCTACTGCGGTCACGTTGATGTGAATCTGGGTGTTTTCATCAATCATCTCTCTCTGTTTCTTTCAGTTTCCCTCTCTCTCTCTCTCTCTCTCTCTCTCTCTCTCTCTCTCTCTCTCTCTCTCTCTCTCTCTCTCTCTCTTTCCATTCAACATGTCATATGTAGGGGCAGATTGGCCTTCTGGCAAATGCTAGATGGGCTGGACAATTTTTTGTTGGGTGGTTTGGTCAAGTTTTACACACACATAAATGTTGTTTTCATATAAATATTCTGACAGGCTGAGCCGAGGTCACGCAAACTCACATTCAAAGTAAAACGTGGCATCAGCAAAGAGAGCTGCTCCGACTCCGTCATCAGTTAGATCATGGATGGTAAAGAACAGACAGGGTTTCATCAGTTAGATCATTGGTAGAGCATGGCGCTTGTAACGCCAGGGTAGTGGGTTCGATCCCCGGGACCACCCATACGTAAAAATGTATGCACACATGACTGTAAGTCGCTTTGGATAAAAGCGTCTGCTAAATGGCATATTATTTATTATTTATAAAGGACAGACAGGGTGTCATCAGTTAGATCATGGATGGTAAAGAACAGACAGGGTTTCTATACGTAGAAACATTATACATTGTCACCTATTATTTTGGCGGCTAAAACTATGATTTGGTCGAACAGTAAAGTTTCTTCTCCTCATGATTCCTGTAATGAAAGTGTTTGTCCTGCCCTGCCCCTCGCTTGGGCCTGCTGCTGTCAAAATCAAAGTGTTTGTCCTGCCCCTCCGGAGTCCTATTTCGAAAAATAGCAACTGTAATCTAATTGTCAACCCAAAAATGCATGACAGTCACTGGATTAGGT